AGATTTTTCGCCCTTGTCCGAGAAGGCTAGGTGTAGATCTTTCCTACCAGAAGATCAGGGGTGTGGCACAAAGACAGCAGTAAGAAGAACCCAAGTAGTAGCAGTAGAAAGGCTGCAGAAAGAGCCAGGAGCCCAGAGGAGGAGGCAAAGGAGGTGAGGGGGTTGGGGCAGAAAGTGGAAACGAAAGAACACAACAGAACATTGCTAGAGAACAGGAAAGGAGGTGAAAGGAGACACTTTTAGAGAAGAAAATTTTTTCGGTCGCTACCCGGATTCGAACACGGGACCTTTGAATGAGAGGCCAACACCCTAATCTCTAGGCCATGAGAGCCCCCTACGCTTCTCTGACATCCTCCGTCCATCTTTCCCAGGATCTGAGGCTTACTCTGTGTCCATCTGATTTCTGGTTGTTTGCGCTTGCTGTTATACTGTCTGATGTCCAAAGCATTTGTTGCACGACTCCGTGGAATCGGGCGCTCGCCAGTATTTTGGCATGTAGATTCGTTGGTGTCATCTGAAGCTTGTTGATTCGTCTATCTTGCAATGAGAAAATTACCAATCCATCTCAAATAGTAGTTAAGATATTTGCGGTTCATTGAAGTTGGGTCGCATGGTTGCAGGGGTAAAATTATCGAGAAAATGGCTGCCAAAAGTTGGTGATCTCGCAAGCTAGAGAGTCTTTGGAAACTGCAAATTTATATTTTGAGCCTTAATATGTGAGGCAGCGTGGTGGAATCAGGCTCTCGTCAAAATAATCAAAGTGAAGAAACTTGCATTTTCCCAGAGGTTTGTAAATTTTTATCAAAATTTAGTTTTTTTGGCTCATCACCTTTCATGCTCATAAAAGAACTCCTTTCTGTGTGGATTTGTCTGAAAAACGTTGATTAAAGGCACAAAAAATGTAAATTTTCTGTTACAACTGACTCTTAGGCTAAGGAAATAACTTATCTTTGGCGGCCATTTTCTCACTAATTTTACCTCTGAAAACAGGTGACCCCCACCTCCTTCATTCACAAATATCTCGACTTGTATTTAAGATAAATGGATATTTTTAAAAACCAAATAAAGACAAGTGAACAAGCTTTAAGATGATACCAATAACTCTACATGCCCAAAAAATGACGAGAGCCTGATTCCACCACGCTGCCTCACATATTAATATCTACTCACGCAGTGCGCAGAGCGCCCAATACTTATCCCCACAAACCAGGATACAGTGTATGCGGTAAATGCTATGGGTTTATTATTTGTCCCCCATCTCACAGGATGCATCTTTTTCTCTTTTATAAAATACCCAGGAGTAGTTTAAGCTTTGTTTATAGTCGTTGAATCCATCTTTTGGATAAGTTTGAAAGCAGTACATAAACGCTCTCACAGACCATTATAAGACAACTGTTAACCTCAAATTTAAAGTTTACACAAGATGCTAAATTCATAGAAATCAAACCATAGGGAGGCAAGGAGACATACGACAAAAATTTGAACTTTGAGCTCAAACGCTTTTGTAAATTAACAAAAACTGACATAATAAATACATTATAGAATATACACCTACATAATACTTTTATGCTTTCTTCTGATTGCTGGTCTCAGCTTTGTTTGTAAAAACATGTCGTAAAAGTCATCACTGACTGTCGTGACAACGAAGACCAGCCAGTTCAAAACCACACTGTGATTGGAAAGCAACTGGTTTTTTTGGAGTCGTTTATATCGCGGGTTTATTTTTCTACCGATCGTCTTTTCAGACGTGCACCTTACAAATTCACTCTCGTTTGAACACCTGTGTTGGTTTTTCTAAAATTATAATCTCATCATTCCATGTGACTACCAATTTTTCCCTCGAAAGCGAAGAAGGACTAAGGGGGCTGCAATTTGAAGAGCGGGGGAAGCATTGTGCTCCGAATAAATGGTATGATTCCGATATGCCTTTGCAAGGTTTTCTTTTTATCACCCCCCCCCCTCCTCCCTTCTCCCCTCCTGTTGTTCCTATTTTAGTGTCCGTTGATTTATCCTTGCACTGAATGACAGGTTGTCTTGTCGAAACAAGCCAGATAACTTTGTTTTGGAGAAAGACACAAGATAATGCAACAGAGTGAAAAGCGTCAAGGATTTCCATGTTCCAAAATCTCTGAATGTTGACGAAAGTATCACAATAGTTGTGTCTTGCACGATTTGGAGTATAATATGTTACACGAACAAGGCATCTTTACATATTTTAAAATTTGTTTTATTGTTCTGTTATAACAGTTCTGCGTCTATCACAGCTCGAATTATATTGACGGGGCTGGATTTAAAGCAATTATAAATGGTTTAATTAACTAAATGGAGAGAGAAAAAAGTCAAGTAAAAGTGGGAGCAAAGACAAAGTTTTGACATGATGTCATTGTCAACCTGTCTCCCTGCGTAGACAATATCCATGCTCTTTTCTGACCTCTCTCATACTTGTCTGGGACGTGTTTATACTCACATAACCCCCCCCCCCCCAACATGCACATATATACATACACTACATACCAAGACTCAATATACACCAACAAATCTCAAACGACTAATCTCTCCATTGTCGTAGACAGGCACTCTGCTGTGACGTTGTATCCCTCATTGCCTAGTTTGGCTGTAACAGGCAGTGCCAAAGCAGCGAGCCTCCTACATGTGCTGAATTGTGTCGATAAGGACATAACACGACATAACACGTTTACTACAGATGCATTCTTTGTAGTCTCCAGCATCGTGTTCCTTGAGCGTACCCACATGGCCAAAATACTCCTTGTTTGAAAACACCAGTCTGTGTTCCTTTGGGCAATAAACTGTTGGCATCTATAAACGGAACTGGCGATCTAGAGTCTAAAAATAGTAGACAAAACTCTGTGTAAATAGCGATGGAGGAAGAACAGACATAGATAAATAGAGAGAGAAGGAGAGAGAGAGAGAGAGAGAGAGAGAGAGAGAGAGAGAGAGAGAGAGAGAGAG